CGGAGCTTCGTGGGGCTGCTTCGATGGTGTACGTTGCTTCTGGGGAGCTGACGGAATTGCGTGTACGGCAAGTGGCGTTAGAAGACCGTATATCATATGAATGATGCCGAGAGGAGGTGAATCCTGCCGAAGGGTAACTGTTTTGATTGCGTTTTTTCGGACATGTTACTGGAGTCGACCATCTTACGCCAATTCCTCAAGGTGGTCTTTCAGAGCATAATAGTTGTCCGTATCATGACCATGATGTTTGTGATATTCACACCGCTTGTCCCGTCGTCTCGTGTCGGGAGGTCCCACCATTTTGGACGGCCATTTGAAGAACGGAAGATGTTGGATTTGGGACATAACCGAGCTGATTGGCTCTGACAGCTCCGTATGTTTCTTGTCGGCGCGCTTTGTGCTCCTATTATCAACTTGCAATTGCTCATTTGTTCGGTGTGAGCATTGTTCGCTTGATTGGCAAGAATCCCGTTTCTTGTATTGTTTAGCCCGCTGTCGTGGTTCAGTGCTCTGAGGAGGTACGGAACTTATTGGCTGAGCAATTTCAGGGGGGGCCATTTTTATGGCAATGTGTCCGGCTTTAACCCGCAAGGCGTCATCTTCCACTTTACAGTATTCCTCTACTTTCTTCATCTACCCCCAGACTGTTTTGGAGAGTCATCTGGTCAAGGAACTGCGGAGGGCGCTATCCGGGTGTAATCCCATTTTGAAGGCGGTGATAGCAATGGAATCGTTGCAAGCATCATCAACAAGATTAAAGCACTCCCAATATCGTGCCGAATATGCTCTTAGTGTTTCTCCTGGCAGGATTTGCATTGCCCAGAAAGAGTCGGCTTGTTTCGACTGAACCTCGTTGGTGATGAATCTGGCCCTGAAGGACTTCTGTACTTGGTGGAAGGTTTTGATCGAAGCCGGTTCTAGTTTATAATACCACCTGACAGCCAATGGTCCTAAACTGCTGGGAAATATTCAGCACATGATGGCCTCATCGTCTGCATGCAGTGTCATGGCTTGCTTGTAGTGGCGGATATGATCAGTGGGGTCTGACTTTCTATCATAGAGAGTGAATGACGGAGCTTTAAACTTTTTGGGAAGGATTGCCCTTGCGATCCGTCGCACAAAGGGATCATGCTGGTCCTCGTCATCTAAGCCGTTTCTTCTGCGCCTATGCCTTATACGTGGGCCCTCTTTAGAGGAGCTGGAAGTTGCAGGTCGTCCTTTCTTTTTGGGCTCCGGAGATAGTGAGTCGGAGTCGCTATCAGTGTCTTGTTGTCGGGCTCGAGATCGTCAATCAGCTACTTTCAGAGGTCGTTCCAGATCTTGGCACACGGCTTGTTTGGACTTTGCCACCTCCAGGGCCAAATCCTGATGGAGACGCTTGTTCTCAGCGATCATGTTCTCTAACCGTTGCTCGTTTTGCTTTGCTTGTTCCATGATCGCTTGCATTGCCTCATGCTCTGGGGTCGAAGGTGAGGCGAAGTTCAAAGTGCGTCGTACCGGGATATTCTCCAGTCCATGCATGTTTGTTGGAGTAAAATCGTCTAACTGCGTGATTTCATCAGTGGCTATTGGAGGGTCATCCGTCACGCCCGCCATGGATGTGCTTGAGTATTCCCACAGACGGTGCCAATTGTGGAGAAGTGGTTTTGGGGATACTCTTTAGATCCTGGGGAATGCTTTTGATCCTCTTCTAGTCACCTGAAAAAGAATGAAGACTCCGGTCGGGGGTGCCGGAATTAGCACTCCGACAGGCAAGTCAGTCTCACACTCAAGATTGCTTGTATTCTAAGTTAAGCAAAATAATTTTCACATACCTTTCTCAGTTTGCTATTCCTCTATTTATACTCGTTCCCTATGCCTCAGGGCAAGGCCCACTTTTCACTCATTATCCTTTTATTCCCTTAGCTCCATAGTTCAATAACTATTCGGCCTATCTATCCATTTTATTCGGCATCCTGAACGTGCCGGATAGAGCCGAATATTATCTGACTGGAATATGCTTCTAATTCTTTTCAATATTCGGCTCCCACAATTATGTATTGAATTTTAATTATGACATGTGCCAAGTGATTAATTATGACTTATCTAATTTGATTCATTGTAAATATCTATTTAAATTGAGAAACTATTCGTTGTGAGCTCAGTTTTGAAACTGAAATTGACGACATAAATGGGTTCAGAAATCAAAATTGAGTACAAGGATAGGTTAATTGGAATTTTTAGAGTTATCCGGAAAGTTTAATTAAAAATTGATTCTGTCTGATTCGCTAATTTTAATAGGTTGGAATTAAATAATTGAATAGGAATTAGAGCTTAATACACATTAGTATAATTTAATTTAGTGTAATTGAGGTTTTATTGTGATGAGGATTAATTTAATTTAACTAGAAATAATTTATTAATTTTGGATGAATTAAGTTTAATATTAAATGGTAATTATATGAAACTTCTACTCATCATTTTATCTTAATAAACAACAAATGAGAGAGAGAGAGAGAGAGAGAGAGAGTACTTGGTTTGGTGGAGCTATTACACAACCCACACGTAGAGAGAGAGAAGAAAAGAGAGAGTTCTTGGGTTAAACTCAAAGAAGGAGAATTGAAGAAGTTAGGAAGAACTAGAAGATAGCTCATTAATCCTCAAATTAAGGTGAGTTTTCATTCCAAATTCTTGAAATTAAGGCAAATCTACTCCTCATCTTCTAAAATATATGTTGAATGGAGATGACTTCATGCATGAGATAAAAGTTTTGGCTATGAGAATTAGAGTTTAACATGAATATGTCTCAAATTGCAGGAATAAAATAAATTAGTTTTTAAACTTGTCATGCATAGATGATTTCATGAAGATTTATTTGTATACTTTGCAATTCATGTATGGGTTTTCAAGATTGAAGGACTATCATGGATTTTGATGATTTAAATTTAATCAAGAAGAAATCTTGCATGTTTAGAGTTGTGCTTGAGTAATTAAGGAAGAAATTGTAGACTTTGAGCTTACCTCTCCACATTCATGGCATTGATTCATGAAAATATGTTCATAAAATTATTTTTCTTGCATGGTTCTTGAAATTGGAAGAACAAACTCCATGAGTTTCAAAGATTGGAACTCTAAGGTGCATGGATTATGTTTTTGCCTTGAAATTCAAGGGTTTGATCTTTTTCCATGGAATTAAGCTTCAATTTAAAGTCATGAGTTTGTTGGAAGCTATAGATGGTAAATTCAACAAGTTTATAGAAGGTTTTGGGCCTTGATTTGCTTGAAATTGAAGCTGAATTGTGAAATTTATATGTTTATGAGTTTCTGATTCAGTAATTTAAACATGACTGAATTGTAATTTAATGTGTATGAGCCTAATTTAAGTTTAATTGTGTAATTAGTGAACTTAATAAAGATTTATATATGATTAGAGTCTTTATATTTAATTAGTTTGGTTAATACATGGCTAAACATGTTTTGATTAGAGGTTAAAGGAAATTAATATTCTAATTAATTCATAATTCTTGTCATCTATATTTAAAATCTTAAAGCTTAAGTGAACTAAATATGTTTAAGATGATTGTGTATCGTGCTATATCATCAATTGGAGCTTATGTGTTCGAGATGGCACACAAATTGAGAACTGGTTAGGAATTGTCTTACTATGATAATAATTAAATGATATATTTATCATATTTTTATATTGTACTAGGTGGTCCCCCCATGCGCTTTGCACGTGGGGGTCGTGCTACAATTTCAATAGAAATATTTCTACAAATTGTGTTTGGTTTATGAATTTGAAAAGTAGACTGTAATTATATTTTGTGTCTAAGTTTTTCTCTTTGCGAATATTTTCTTCAATTAATAAAAATATGAACATAGATATGTGTCATATCAGATATGAGTATATCTTTACATTTGCAGTTAAAAAACAATTCTTTTCGATAATTCATCTATGTAATTTCTTTGAATAACATGGCAAGTGATAATAAGTATTCAATGCGATCTTATCTAAATGTTACATATGAACATATTAATGTTGATGGTTTGATAATAATATGCATTCAGTATACATCTTATAAGATAAATTTAACCCAAAAAAGTATGATAAGATTATAGCATTATACATTATAGTAGATATATGCAGTGGAAATTTGTTTACAAAAGATAAGAAGAGGAAGAAGTATTACCTAGCAAATTACCTTTTTAGAACACACGTTTTGAAATACGGTACACTTTCGTTCCAAAATGTTACATTTGGCGGTCCAAAACAAGCCTTTAAGTATTTCCTAATATAATTCAAGGTTTCCTTCGATGTAAAAGAAACAAGCCTAAATTACACTCATCTCCCTTGACGTTTGGAAAAATACAGTTGACCCCACACTTTATCGTACTATGTACTATGTTGGCCGATAGTATATTGTATTCCATTATGATTTATTAGATAATCAAAAATAGAAGAGGCAATTATTATTTTCCTCAGCATTAACCATGAGTGTATACCATCACTACAAGAAATTACACTTTTGGCGACCAAATTTGGCTACTAAAATTAATTTAGTCGCCAAAAGTCAGCCCTTTGGCGGCTAAAATTTGAATTGGTCGGCAATGTTTCATATTTTAGCTACTAAAATATTTTAGTAGCCGTATATTACTTATTGGCGACTAAAATACAATTAGTAGCTAAAAAATAACCCAATCAGCGACTAAAAAGCAGTTAGTCGCTAAAAATAGCCCAATAGGCGACTAAAATACAGTTAGTAGCTAAAAAATGACCCAATTAGTGACTAAAAAACAGTTAGTCACTAAAAATAGCCCAATAGGCGACTAAAATACAATTAGTAGCTAAAAAATGACCCAATCAGCGACTAAAAATAGTTAGTCGCTAAAAAACTACCCTATAGGCGACTAAAAAAATTTTGGTCCCTAAATGTATAATCTTTAGCTACTAAAAATAATTTAGTCGGTATTAATTTACTTTTAGCGACTAAATTTTAGTCGGTGATTATAATTAAAAAATTTAAAAATTGGACTTCAGATTTCAGAGGGAAAATTAATTGGCTACTAAAGTCGTTAGTTGGAAAAACGTCTTTATTTATTATTGGCGACTACAAAAATTGGTCGGGAAGGAAAATAAACTAGGTTTAAAAAATACACTTCCATACGCTCAGACTCTCATACGTTTTTCTGTCTCTCACTCTGTGACTCTCTCTCTCTCTCTCTTTCTCACTCTCTCACGTCTCTGCCCTCTCTCTCGCCTTTGTCTCCATCGTCGTCGGGTACGGGAGCATCACCGTCATCGCACACGAGCACCACCGTTAATCCACCATTGGAGCATTACCCCAGGTATGTCCTCTCTCTATTTTTCCCTCTCTCTATCTTTCAGTCTCTCTTCCCCTAATTTCAGCCTCTAGGGTTTTCTTCTTCCATTTGCAGCTCTGTTCTGATAGCAGCTCTGTTCTTGACACTGGCGAGCTCGGACGCCCCTTTCATCGTCGCCCACAAGAAGGCCACTCTCACCAGGCTCAAGTCCAGTGTCGAACGTGTCTTCGCTTCCATCGACATCTACAACCAAGGATCTGCGTATGCGATTCCACCATTTCCTTTCTCTTTAGTCTTCTTTGATCTCTCTAAATTCTACAGTAGGAATAACCAACACGCATAACCAAAAATTATAATTAAAATATTGTCATGACGAAAATTAATCCTACTGAAAGAATAAGAAGAAAATAGCATAAGTGCATAGTACGAATTTCCCTCTATTGTAATAAACTGCAAGAGAGAAAATTAGTAGTAATGAAGATGTGGAACTATGGTAAGATTTATATTTCAAATTCTACGAGTCTTTCACAGTAATTTTTCTAACAACTTAGGTGAAAGTCATAATTTTTTGGAAAATTCTTGAATTTACGTAGGCCTTGTAGCTGAAAAAGTGTTATCTAGTCGGTCTCTCAACTTTGATGGGAAATAAGTATGGAAGATAAACTAGAACTTCAATTCTTGAATTTGTGAACTATAGCATATTGCCCTTTAAATCTGATTGGGTAAGAGAAATTGTAGGTAAATGGGAATTAAAAAGATATAAAATATCCCTTATTGAATATTTCAACCATATTTTGATGCTTGTTTTATTCAACTCAGCTTAAACTTGACTTGAGAGGTCGATAATTTTATGAGACTAACCAAGAAACCAAGCTCTAATTGCTTGGTTTTTTATGGGCTTGAGTAGAATCTTGCTTGAGATCATTCATGCAATAAACTAGTAAACCTCAATCTTCATTTTATATCTCACCAAATTTTCTAATCAAGCTTGAGCAACCCATTACTTGGCTCAGCTAGTATTGTTTTCATTGAACAATTTTGAATAGTCTAAAAAAGGATAGCCCTGTGATTCTATGTCCCACTTCAATGCTAATGGATCAGGACTTGAATCATGGATTGTCTTGTAAACACTCTTGAGAATGCAGTGCTCTCATAATATTGAGAATGCAGTTCATTGTCTACTTGTTGTTTGACTCCTCGTAATCTTAAGGGGAGTTGCTTGGATATATGATGCTTCTAATGCAGACTCCTGTGGTTTATGGAAGGGGATGGGTAGGTTGTACATTGTACAGCTGATGTTGTTCATCTGAGTTTGTCTAGCTTATACTAAGTTAGAAACTTATGGATAATTTGAAATTATCAATTGTTTTTCTAAATGATAATTCTATTTTTGTCCCTCTTTAACTCCTTAAGCCTGTAGGCCATTTCATCTATAGTGGTAAGTGTTCATACCAAGCTCACACTTGTAGTACAATTATTTGCTTCCTCACTGAGATGGTTTTAGAAAAGATTTCATGTTGGATCTTAGACCAATATGGGAATTTTTCAGAAGCTTTTAATGTTGACGGGCTATTTTAGTACTTACAATGAATTGATTTTTTTTTTTTAAGCAGCTTTTAGGTTTGTTGTTGATTTTAGGTCAATAAGGAAGGAACTTAACGAGATTGACTTTGTGGACGTTTGATGTTTGAAGGGCACCACACTTTGCAATCCGATATTTAGGTCAACTGGCTGTCATTGTGATTTTGTTGTGTGTTTTGCCCTTTCTTACACAACATGCTGTTAAGTTTCAAATAATTTTCATAATTCCTCAAACCTATGCCTCAGATATTATTTAAGGAAAAAGGGAGCCAGACTTTGTTGCATATTCTCAAGTTTGCCAAACTTTTACTATTTTGACTTTGTGGCCACAGAAATGTAGCACTGTAGGGAACATTTTCTTGGGCATATTTTCTATTACTGTTCTTCATTTCTATACTTCACAAAAAACCTGGAGCTTACATTTAGGCTTTTTATTATTGGAAAAAATGGGCTTAGACTTGCAGAATATCTACATGTTTTTTTAGAGATATGTTCTAATAATTTAGAAGCTAATCAATTTTGGTTTTTGCCTCAAGTCTTGATTTGCTTGCTCTTAAATGTACTCTTTTCCTGCCTTACTCACTCAGTAACTGTCTATCTATAATACATAAGTCGTCTTCTGGAACGCTCTGTTTGAACTATTGGAAACTTTATATGGAACTGATATTGGTAGCTGGATGAAAGAGCATTCTATACCCTTTCCTTTTTAATTTAATCTTTTCTCTTTTAAGCATCCTCATGTATCTTGCAATCTTACTTGTCAAACCCAGCCTCAACATTGACCTTTTGTGGGTGGGATCAGTGAGTTTTGTGGAGAGTAGTTATAAATATATTAATTTAGGGAAATTATATGCACACACCCCCTTTATATGTGCCTTTAGTTACAATCTTTGTGTCTTTGATTACATGACCTATTGTGCTGTTAGTTATGACAGATTGTGATGTTGGTTATGACATTATTTTGGTTATAATCTAAGAGTTGTTTGGTTACATCTCATGTGATGTTTGGTTATAACTCAAATTTTTATTTTTATTTTTTTTATAGTTAGGACTCCCATAGCATGTATGGATTTTCGATGAACGCTCTCGAAATTTTTTTCGATCAAATCCAGGAAAGAATTCTCATCTATATATAAATACATTGTATATGCCCTATTACTACCTTTGTTCTTCATGTTTTATATCTGAATGTGGTCAGATTGAATTCGAATGTGCCTTTTGTGATTTATTTTCTTGAATTTTTTTTTATAAATATTATATATGAATTACTGTGCTTCGTTTGTGGAGTTAAAAAAAAAAAATGATCAGCTTTATATTTGCTTTTTTAATGTTTGTGTTTTGTGGATACTCTCTCAATCAATTTCTTCTTTTTTGTCATCCAGGTACTTTCTTTATATAAATCTATACCACATAGATTACATATACGAAGGTAAGTTTCTTTGCTCCTCATAAATCTGTGCCTTCATTTATTTATTCTAAGTATTTGATATAGATTCAGGTCATTCTTTTCATTTGTCTTGAGATCCTTGATTGACCTCTGATCTATGCATTAGGAAAATTGGGTCTTCATTTATTTGTTCTAAGAACTTTTATTTGATATAGATTTAGGTTGTTCTTTTCATTAGTCATGAGACCTTTGATTGGGAACTCTGATCTATGCTTAGGAAATTTGGGAATTCATTCATTTGTTCTGAGCAACTTCTATTGGATATAATAATTATTAGGACAAATCTACAATGTCTGTGCACCCCTAAAAAAGGTATATCGTAAGAAGATTTACAATTTTTTGTTGTGAAAATTATTAATATTTGTGGTGATTTATGCCAGTTTGTGGTGATTTAGAGTTGAAAATGTCATAAATGTAATCGGAAAAAGGCGTTCGGGGGGTGAAAATGCAAAACAGCCACTGAACCTCTGTTTTAACGTAACGGGAAGCTTCCCGGTGGGAAATGTGACATGTAGGGACAGACGGTACGTAAATAGGACGCCTACGTTGGGAGTTAGAGTTGAAAATGTCATTAATTTTAGTCGACAAAAAGGGGTTCGGGGGGCGAAAATGCAAAACAGTCCCTGAGACACCATTTTTTCGTAACGGGAAGCTTCCCGGTGACAAATGTGACATGTAGGGACAGACGGTGCGTAAATAGAACACCTACGTTGAGAGTTAGAATTGAAAATGTCATAAATTTTATCGGAAAAAGGCGGTCGGAGGGCGAAAATGAAAAACAACCCCTGAACCTCTGGTTTAACATAACGAAAAGCTTTCTGATGCCAAATGTGACATGTAGGGATAGACGGTACGTAAATAGGACACCTACATTGGGAGTTAGAGTTGAAAATGTCATTAATATAGTCGACAAAAAGGGGTTCGAGGGGCGAAAATGCAAAACAGTATCATAGCCACTGTTTTTACGTAACGGGAAGCTTCTCGGTGACCAATGTGACATGTAAGGACAGACGGTACGTAAATAGGACACCTACGTTGAGAGTTAGAGTTGAAAATGTCATAAATTTAATCGGAAAAAGGCGATCGGGGGAAAAAAATGCAAAACAGCCCCCGAACCATTGTTTTTACATAACGGGAAGCTTCCCAGGTCCAAATGTGACATGTAGAGATGGGCGGTACGTAAATAGGACACCTAGGCTGGGAGTTAGAATTGAAAATGTCATAACAATAGTCGAAAAAATCGTATGGGTGGCGACAATGTGTTTATGTGGTAGAACATGAAATGCCCATGTCATGGGCAACTATTTTGGTACTACCATCTTAAACTATAGTTTGTTTAACTCTTTCCTTATTAGTTTATGTACGGTTATATTTTGGGAAAATTGTTTACTGCTTTTGTTGACTATGGCCCCTTTAATTGTCATAAACATAACTTTTGGCTTTCATTCATAGAATCGATGTTCGTCTACCATTCCATGTTTGGGTGTCTTTCATTAGTTAATAGTTATTACTCTCCTTGTCTTTTCATGTTTGAAATTAATACAGTTGCTATATGTCGTCCAAAAGTGCCTTTATAGGCACCAAACTAATGACATTTTTTTTATTTGCAGATGGTTTTGGACATAAAATATGGATATGATTTTTTTTGACAAGTACGGAAGGGCATTGTTTTTATACATCTACCCATATATATAGTGGTTTGTACAAATTACTTTTTTGGTGTGGTAAATATCAGCTAATTTGGCATGGTAGAAATTAGCATATATGCTAATTTAGGTTGTGGTACATATGTCCTTTTTGTTAATTAATTTGGTTAGTCCTTGGTTATGTATGGAATTAAATTATTTACGTTGGATTATACTTGGTTCATATGGAATTTGTATTATATATAGAATTGGACGTTCAATATTAATTTTTTGAATGGTTAGAACTGAAATGTGTGCACGTTGTTGAATGCTTGAATGGTTGATAATATATTTAGCGTTGATGGATTATATTATTTATACAGGGTACAGGTTGTACTAATAATATTATGGATATAGGTTGTTTAGCAACAATTTTTTTTTTTTTTTAAATAAATAAATATTTGGCCACCAAATATTTTGATAACCAAATACGTGATCAAATGTTTTGGCGACTAATAACTTAGTAGCAAAAACATAACCAAAAAAGTTTTTGTGACCAAACAGTTAGTAGCTAAACAAATTGAGAATGAGAGAACTTCACTATTGGCCACAACATTTTTTAGTCACGGAAAAAATGCGTATCATTTAGTGACTAAAACATTTGGTGGCAAAAAGTAAAAAAATGAAACTTAAGAGATTTTTGGCTACGACCAATTTTAGTCGCCAAAAGTTACCACAAAAAATGACATGGTCGCTAAAAGTATGTATTCTATTAGTGACCAAAATATTTAGTCTCTAATAATTGGTTAAAATTTTCATGTAGAACTTTTAGTGACTAAAAAATTAGTGGCCGAAATGTCACATTTGTCGACTAAGTACAGATTCGTAGCCAAATGTTCACTTTTGGTGACTAATTCCTTCGTAGCAAAAAAGTAACACCTTCCCCGACCATACGAATATTAGTAGTCGAAAGTCACATTCGGCGACTAATTGTTTTAGTGGCAAAAAGCTAACATTTGCCGACTAACAGAAATTTAGTAGGCAAATGTAACACTTTCGGCGACCAAATAAAGTTTAGTCGCCAATACTATCGCCAACAGGGTATAGGCGACTAACTTGGTGACAAAACTTTTTAGTCGCTAAATCCTTTCAGTGACCAAATTTCAAACGTTTGGGTGCCGTTTGGTAACACTTACGTTTTCAGTTTTCTGTTTATATTTACAAAAATTTAAAAAACTCAAATAAAAATTTGTTTGGTAAAATTTTTAATTTATAAATCAGTGGTCTCAGTTTATAAATTTGGCAAAAAAATAAAAACACAAAAAATGTGTTTCCATTTTGAGTTTTCAGTTTTTTTTTTTTTACCACCCAACACTAGCCATCACCCGTTACCATTTTCCACCACCATCTTCGGCCACCACCACCACCCATCACCTGTCACCACCACTCACCACCTGTCACCACCACTCACCACCTACTTGCCACCACCACCCACCACACATTTCTTCACCACCACCAAGCACCACCACCACTACTCCATTCCAGCAGATAGGAGTGGCTTTCCAGCAGCTAAGAGGCAACATTTTTCAGTCCTAGAGGCAGCAAAGGTTGGGGC